CCATTCTGGTGAAATTATGTGTTGATGTCTTTGTAAGACTTCACCTGAAAGAACTTGTTTATTTTGGATATAGAGTTAACCCAATTTGGCAGCAATTGTATTTTTGATTTTCAATGTGATTGGGATGTTCAGATATTTTCATTTAAGAGAAGACTAATGGATTGATGCTTTTGAACTGTGGTGTTGGAGAAGACTCTTGAGAGTCCCTGGGCCTGCAGGGAGATCAAACCAGTCAATCCTAAAGCAGATCAATCCCTGCGTGTTCATTGGAAGGACTGATGCTGAAGCTGAAACTCCAATACTTTGGCCATCTGATGTGAAGAACTGACTCCTTGGAAAATAACCTGATGCTGGGCAAGACTGAAGGCAGGAGGAGAAGGGGTGACAGAGGGTGAAATGGTTGGATGGCATCACTGACTCGATGGACATGAGTTTGAGCAAGCTCTGGAAGTTGGTGTTGAACAGGAAAGCCTGTCATGTTACAGTAAATGGAGTCACAAAGAATCGGACATGTCTGAGCAACTGAACTGAACTGAATGGATTGATGTCCATTATTACAACCTGTTAACTCCAAATGGTCTGGAGTGGTGGAGAGGGGTGCTCTGCTCCAGTGAAATCAGCTAGCTTTCCACTGTTCTCAGGGTAAACACTTACCCCTCAAAGATGATGGTAATGTCTATTGTTTTCCTAATAAAAATCTCACCAGTCTTTTTTTTTGTCATTAGTATATCATTCAGCAGTGATGTGCACTGCCTATTGTTTATTTAAACAATTTGCATTCCTTTAAAGTTTCATTATTGCACTTTCAAGAGCTGTTATAAGTCTTTATAATGGGGAGAATCTGCTCAGTGTCAGAGTAATAGAGCAAATATTACTTGTGTGTCCTAGAGCAATATTTTAGAATTGACCCACATTTATTTTGTACCTAAATAACTGGAAAAGAATAGTTAAATACCTTATCTAAAAGTGAAAAGACTAGAATCCAAAATGAAGGAGATTAGGGAGTACTATAGGATGTTACTAAAATACTTGCAAGGTGTCTGTTTGGTGGTGTTTTAGTCACTAAGACATGCCCAACTCTTTTTGCGAACTCATGGACTATAGCCTGCCAATCTGCTCAGTTCATGGGGTTTCCCAGGCAAGAATGCTTGAGTGGGTTGCCATTTCCTTCTCTGGTGAGTATTCCCAACCCAAGGATCAAACCTGCATCTCCTGCGCTGGCAGGCGGATTCTTTTACTTCTGAGCCACCAGAGAAGCCTGAGGCATCTTTTATATAATATAAAAATGCTTAATACCGTTTAGGTTGTTGGTGACAACTTAGTTTGGGGCTGAAATTACCAAATAAATTTTACAGAATTCAAATGGTTAGTCTTAGCATAGAAACTCATTTAAAAAAATAATGTAGAGAAAACATTTACTTGATTTAAGGTGCAATTGTACATCTCTAATGATCATAGAAAGGTCTTTCATCTGTTAGTCATTTCTAAATATGATAGTGCCTTTGAGAACCGAATTATGTTTTTTCCATCTTTCTGTTATAGTCACTATTTCTTCTTCCCTCAGCCCCTAAGTTACAAAAGTTCTCTATATATGTATTTTACATACTTAAGAAGATCCTGAGAAACCAAGGTCTGATGAAAATGTGGCTAATTTATTTCTGGTCATGAATTTTATTCTGTCTAAAGAAGGAAAGTGTAATAAAATCAATATCTTGCCAGAAATTGCTGTAGCATTGTACGTGCATGTTTAGCATTTCTCTGAAATGGACTAAAATGGTGTGAATGGAATGATTCCATAAACTTGAAAATTCATGGCACTTCATTTTCATTAGTCATTAAGAAATTGTTGCCCACCAAATAGTTTAAAGTAGTGAGTTATTTTTTCCACAAGAGTGGAAAGGAAGGAGAACTATGTTAATATTCAAAGGGAATTAAAAGAAAAATCATGTGCTTTCAGGAGCCATCTTCACAGTCTGCTTAGTAAGCAATGATGTAGGTGAAAGACATCTAACAGTCATAAGTGGTTTAAAAATTGAGCACAGAGAGAGGGCCCTGTGAAAAGCAAGAAAATCTATTGCAGGCTTCATGAGAAGCAAACTTTCACGAAAGAGGGAATGTTTGAGTTCCCTCTGAAGGAAACCATGAAAATTGTATCAGCTGAGAAATGTAGAGCCAGGCAGGGGTTCATGATCAGAAAAATGCTAAAGAAACATGTCCACAACCATCCACAAGTCATATTCACTCATTAGTGCCAGTTTATATTTGTGTCGAGAATCTAGTATTTCAGAGCAGTGAAAGGAATACCTAGGTCCTAAATTCTTGGAAGCAAACCTGAAATGGGGTGAATCGATCCTAGGCTGCTCATCACAGGAAAGAGAAAGAGAGAGGAGTAGCAGAGGAATAGAAAGGATTATGAGTATAGAAGAAGAAAGCAGGAACAGAGGAGAATGCCAAACCTCTTTATCTCTCTCTCACTCATATATATACGCACACATGTGTATGTATATGTTTATGTATTTATATGTGCTTGTAAGTGCATGCTCAGTCTTGTGACCCAATGGACTATTGCCCACCAGGCTCCCCTGTTCATTGGATTTCCCACGCAAGAACACTGGAGTGAGTTGCCCTTTCCTTCTCCAGGTGATCTTCTCAACTCAGGGATCAAACCCTCATCTCCAAAAAGTCAGAACTTTTTGGTGGCAAAATCATTTTCCATCATAATTTTCCAGTGGTAGAACTATTACAAAATACTTTAGGCACTGAAATCGGCCTTTCTGGCTCTAGAACCTACAAGTTGTGTGGTTTGGAGAAGTTGCTTACACATCATAGTCTCTTCATTTCTAAAATGGGAATAATAGAGCTTGATTCAAAGAGTTGTGGTGTGAATAATAAATTCAAAGTGTTTAGACTAATAAATTGTACAGTCCTCAGTAATTATTGTCTATTGTTTGGTAAATAAATACTTGATCAAAATCTGTGATAAAGTTGGAAATAGAATCCAAGAGATAATAAATGTATCTGCTCAAAGGGACTCAAGAAATATTTCTGATGTTGCTTCATTCTCAGTGAAGTTGGTGAAAGAATAAAGTCTAATATTATTGTATAAATTATAAATAATTAAATTTAGCCCTGGATACAATGTTGACACATTATCTATAGGAAATCTCTCAGACAGTTTTTTCCATATCTTTGGCATGTTAATGCATCCTTCTAAACCAGCATGCCCTGTGAAAAAGTAAAGAATTTAAAAGCTTTTTGGTACTAGAGGCCCAACTATTTAGGTAAAAACAGGAAAATAATACAGGGGATGGGAGGGAAAGAGTGATGAGGCAGTGGGAGATTTGACTTCCAAGATCGATCAGTAGAAAAACTAGGACTTGAGTCCTGGTTCTTTCCACTGATTCTCTGATTTTTCTAGAAGAAAATGACCATCAAAGATTGCAAATTCACTTCAACTTTAGGGGCAAGTTTTGCTGATAGTGGTTGAAAAGAGCAAGGAATAGTGGTTACTCAAAGAAGCAAAAATTATCACATTTTACCTACTGGACATAACAACAACAAAGACAAAAGTGAAATCTGTCTTTAAAAATAAATATGAAAAATGCATATTTATTTTCAGTGTGAAAAGGAGATCAAGGCTGCTGCTTCCCAAATTTGTCATCATTTCATGTTCCCAGTGGAAGAAGATGAATATAACTTTTCAAAATTATTTTTTATTGGAATATAGTTGATTTATAATGCCATGTTACAACACAGTGAGTCAGTTTTACATACACATACATCCACTACTTTTTAGATTCTATTCCCATATAGATCATTACAGAGTATTGAATAGAGTTTTCTGTGCTATTTGCTAAGTTCTTTTTTTTGTTGTTTTGATTTTTTGATAGAAAGTGGATTTATTTACAGTGATATACATTCCACAGACGGCTAAGTTCTTATATGCTTGCTTCTTCTCTATGTTCTGCTGGCTTCTCTGATGGCTCAATGGGTAAAGAATCCACCTTCTATGCAGAAGACACAGGAGATGTGGGTTTAATCCCTGAGTCAGGAAGATCTCCTGGAGGGGAAATGACAATCATTCCAGTATTCTTGCCTGGGAAATCCCATGGTCAGGGGAGCCTGGCAGGCTACCATCCAAAGGGTTGCCAAGAGTCAGACATGACTAAGCTGCTAAGCACAGCTAGAGAAAATTATATATAGTAGTGTTTATGTGTCAGTCCCAATCTCCCAATATATCCATCTCACATCACTTCTTTAAACCCTAGGAAGGGTTTTGAGGGACCAAGTCTGCAAGATTCACTAGCAAAGGTGTGTTATATTTGTAATTTCCTTTCAATTGCACGTTTCAATCACAGTATAACTAGTATTATGGTGATTAGGCATTAAATTAAATTAGTGTATCATGTACCTTGCTGAGAAAATAGTAATACATATAGCAGTGCACTAGAGTAGATAATTACTAGGACAATAGAAATGTGTCCACAGTAAAGATAATGGTCATTTTTAGTACCTATCACCACAGCCAGTTCTGACGGGAAAGAGTCCATCAAATTAACTAAATCCTAATGAAACTCTAGAATTACAGACCCTAAGCTTTCTTGTCTTATACTCTGGGTTTTCTCAGTCATATCATCTCCCCTTTATTTGCTTTATCAGCATAGCTTCCATAGCTTTATGGAATTCCCAGTGTCATTTATGTAGGTGAATTGGATACAAATACTTGGTTAGTCAGAGTGTTTATTGTATTTTTTTCAAGTTTTTTTTTTTTTTAATTCTTTGTTGGCAAGACACCACCATTCACTCAACTGTTTAACTACATTGGGCTGGGTGGGGGGCAGTGTGTATTATGTCCTATAGTAGTTCCTATAAAGTAAACTAACAGTTTAGGGGATTAAAGTTGCAAGCATTTTCAATATTTGTCTCTAACTCTGAGAAAAGAGAGCATGCAAGTTCACATTCCCCACCCACTCACTTTTTTTTTTTTTCTGTCTTTACAGTTCCGCCATGGTTTTTAAATCACCCTTCCAACCTCTATGCCTATGAAAGCATGGATATTGAGTTTGAATGCACAGTCTCTGGGAAGCCTGTGCCCACTGTGAACTGGATGAAGAATGGAGATGTGGTCATTCCTAGTGATTATTTTCAGATAGTGGTAATTATCTTTTTTTTCAAATTCATTTTATGATCCCAGTCATCATCTATTCTGTTTTCAGTTGCTTTTCTTTCCTGGGGACAAGGTTCCCATTGGGAATTTCTATGATATGTGAAGAAAATTGTTTTAATAAAACAGATGAGTTTTTTAGACTTAGAACTTTTGAGCTAAAAAAAATAAGAATAATCAAACAACCCGGCCCCTTGTTTTACAGAGAAGATTTTAAACAAATAATAAAAAAAATAGAAGGCTTAATACCAATAATTTCTAAATATTTTCACTGGTGATTCTTGGGAGAAAAAAGTTTTGAACCTGGTACTAGACTGTATGAAGCCAAGAATCTCTTAGTTCTTTGACTTTTGCCCATGATAATAAAGCCTTAATAGAATGTGCTACTTATGAATATGGCAGCCTCACTTCGATAATAAAGATAGCCACTCTTTGCTCCTTTGCTCCACTTCCAAATAGGACCAGCTGGTCCTTTATGAGCGGTGCAAGAGGGCAATAATACTGGTGCCAAAACAATGGTGGTGACAGTGGTGGAGAAGATATCAAGACCCAGAGATTACATGCTTTGTAATTTAAGAGCATTGAATTAAAGCCAAGAACAATGCTTCTTGTAATTCCTATATGGTTTAGTGTACTCCTGTTCCTGTCCTGGATGGAGATAATAGGGATAATTGCATTATATTCACAGAGCTGTTTGAGGTCCTGGTACACAGTGAATGACCCAAGCCTCTCATTATTATTATTGTGCTTGCTGCTGGCAGCAGAAAGTTTTTCTCATTCGAAAATACTCTTTGGAAACTCTCCTTTTGGTTGAGGTCAGCATCAGAGCATCTGAAGTCAGGTGTATGAATAAGAGATATGAAAAGCACGTTTTCAATGTCAAGGAACTTTGCAGCTAAAGAGGGAGGGTTTTGGTCCATTTCTCTTATGTTGGAGATGCAGATATGACCCTGATAAAGAAGAGTGGTCCTCTAAGCCAGGTCTCGCAGCAGAAGGGAATCCTAGTGAAAGTGCCGCACGGAATTCAGGCACAAACTCTCTCCATGGCTTCATAGTGCCTCTTGCAGGCAGATCGCTCTTCCGTCATCAGTTGACTCTCAGAGACTTTCATCATCTCCTGATCCATGCATTTTGTCATATTATAAGGGCTCTTAAGGAATACATCTATAAAGAATATCTTTATTATGCTTATCATCACTTACTATTTTTCATTTTTAGTTGCATTTAATTGGTTAGGAATAGAGTAAGAAAGGAAAATTAATTTAACTTTTGAATGCCACATCAATCCATTGGTTCCTTTATATGCTATGCTATTTTCTCTATCAGTGAATTAAAAATGACCTGCCAGGGGGCAACATGAAGTGTGTTGTATACGCCTGAAATGTATGCCACTTGCATAGAGAGGAAATTGTTGAGTGCCCTTAAGGACATGATAAAATGCAACATTTATTTTTTTCTACAGTTTGAATAATCTTTTCCCCAGCACGACCCATTATACCCAACCCATTTAAATGTTTCTTTTCTTAAGGTAAAAAGAAAATGTGCACTATGAGCCCTTTTCACACTAAATTGTGCTTAAAAAATATTTCCCCAATAGCTCCAGATATCTGAGAGCCATTGTCTGTCACACGAGTAACATTTAGCCCAAATAGTAACTTATATGAGAATTGTTAATTAGAAGTTAGTCAGCTTTATCTAAGAATTTTACATTAGCCAAGAATTGACTACAAGACACTAAAAACAATTAAGAATTCCCCATGAGGTAATATTTATCTCTTAATGACTTCAGGGGAAGTGATTTAATACGTCTCACTTACTGAACTAATTCTTACACTATCAAAGATAAACTGAGTTAGGGTAATTAAATGCTATTTCAGATCATTTTATCATCCATCCTTGAAAACTGTGGTGGCCCAATTTATATAAAACAGGAGTTAATGTTGCTCTATTTAATTTATGGATTACTGAAGGTGAAACATTTTGTGAAACATCTTGCCGTATAACAAGAACAACACGGGTATAAAATATCCCCCAGAACCTCCTCCAATTCCCTAAAAGGTCACACAATTTAAAAAAGATTTTCAGACATGTTTTTTTTTTTTTCTCAGTTAAAAACACTTCTAGAAAATGTCCAACCTAGGTTTCTTGTCCTTTAGAAGCTGCAAAAATCAGTGTTTTTGTTTCCTTTTGCTTTTTGTTTCTCTCCAGCAGCTCTGAACCTATTTCCTTCAGTATAAGGGAAAAAGAATGAGATTTCTTTGCTACTAACCTCTCTTCCATACCTAATAAAGGAATGTTCTGATTACTGCTCATTTAGAATTGGAGGATGATATACATCCTTGAGAGTATATTTTTCAGCACAGAACCGGGTGAAATTGCTACACATGGATTCAGCAAAGTCTTGGGGCTCTGTGACATTTTCCAGGTGACTTAGGCCAGATCTGTCAGGCTGAGAATCCTCTTGGCCTCCGTTCTGGCTTTTCTGGGAAGTTGGATTAAAGTTCAGTTGTGTTCATCTTGTCACTTAAAGTTTTTTTTGCGTTTTCAAATATTTTACCTGCATTTTATTCACACTAGGGAGGAAGCAACCTGCGGATCCTTGGGGTGGTGAAGTCGGATGAGGGCTTTTATCAGTGCGTGGCTGAAAATGAAGCCGGAAACACCCAGACCAGTGCACAGCTCATTGTCCCTAAGCCTGGTAAGATGAGATGAACTTTGCTCTGGATTTTGTAGTTACTGTTCTGTGTGGTTTATCTGTAAAAATCCATGTTGTTTTCCTTGTTCCCAAAGTCAGTTGGAAATTAGAGTTATTTAGTTAATCAAGGTGTGTATTTGCATACTGATGATATATTTGTGTTAGAAAATTATATCTCTATCTATTGATATATATATAAATCGATCCAGTGAGATATGATTATTATGAACAGTAGATACCTCTGGCTATCAAGACAACAACCACTAAATCACTTCCTTTTCCTCTATTTTGTGGCTTGCCATTCTTTCAGTGTTTCATATAAATATAAAATCTATATATGGAACATATATATAGCATATAGACATATAAAAGATAAACATATATATGTATTAGTTCAGTTCAGTTGCTTACTCATGTCGAACTCTGCGACACCATGGACTACAGCACGCCAGGCTTCCCTGTCCATCACCAACTCCTGGAATTTACTCAAACTCATTTCTATTGAGTCGGTGATGCCATCCAACTATCTCATCCTCTGCCATCCCCTCTCCTCCTGCCTTCAATCTTTCCAAGCATCAGGGTCTTTTCAAATGAGTCAGTTCTTCACATCAGGTGCCAAAGTATTGGAATTTCAGCTTCAACATCAGTCCTTCCAATGAACACCCAGGACCGATCTCCTTTAGGATGGACTGGTTGGATCACCTTGCAGTCCAA